CTTGTTACCCAGGCTGGAGTTCAATGGCGCGGTCTCGGCTCACTGCAACCTCCGCCTCCTGGGTTCAAGCAATTCTCCTGCCTCAGCCTCCTGAGTAGCTGGGATTACAGGCAAGCGCCACCATGCCCAGCTAATTTTTTGTATTTTTAGTAGAGACAGGGTTTCACCATGTTGACCAGGATGGTCTCGATCTCTCAACCTCGTGATCCACCCGCCTCGGCCTCCCAAAGTGCTGGGATTACAGGCTTGAGCCACCGCGCCCGGCTTATTTATTTATTTTTTTATACAGAGTTGCTCTGTCGCCCCAACTGGAGTGCAGTGGTGTGATCTCTACTCACTGCAGCTTCTATCTCCAGGGTTCAAGCAGCTAATTTTTTTTTTTTTTTTTTTTTTTTTTTTTTTTAAGACAGGGTTTCGGCCGGGCGCAGTGGCTCAAGCCTGTAATCCCAGCACTTTGGGAGGCCGAGGCGGGTGGATCACGAGGTCAAGAGATCGAGACCATCCTGGTCAACATGGTGAAACCCTGTCTCTATTAAAAATACAAAAGTATGCCGGGCGCGGTGGCTCAAGCCTGTAATCCCAGCACTTTGGGAGGCCGAGGTGGGTGGATCACGAGGTCAAGAGATCGAGACCAGCCGGGCGCGGTGGCTCACGCCTGTAATCCCAGCACTTTGGGAGGCCGAGGTGGGTGGATCACGAGGTCAAGAGATCGAGACCATCCTGGCCAACATGGTGAAACCCCGTCTCTACTAAAAATACAAAAAAATAGCTGGGCATGGTGGTGCGTGCCTGTAATCCCAGCTACTTAGGAGGCTGAGGCAGGAGAATTGCCTGAACCCAGGAGGCGGAGGTTGCGGTGAGCCGAGATCGCGCCATTGCACTCCAGCCTGGGTAACAAGAGCGAAACTCTGTCTCAAAAAAAAAAAAAAAAAAAAAAAAAAACAAAAATATTAGCTGGGCATGGTGCGGCGTGCCTGTTATCCCAGCTACTCAGGAGGCTGAGGCAGGAGAATTGCCTGAACCCAGGAGGCGGAGGTTGCGGTGAGCCAAGATCGCGCCATTGCACTCCAGCCTGGGTAACAAGAGGGAAACTCCGTCTCAAAAGAAAAAAAAAAAAAAAGACAGGGTTTCACCATGTTGGCCAGGCTGGTCTTGAACTCCTGACCTCAGGTGATCCGCCTGCCTCAGGCTCTGAAAGTGCTGAGATTACAGGCATGAACCACTACATCCAGCTAATTTTTGTATTTTTAGTAGAGACGGGGTTTCAACAAGTTGGCCAGGCTGGTTTCAAATTCCTGGCCTCAGGTTATCGGCCTGCGTTGGCCTCCCAAAGTGCTAGGATTACAGGCATGAGCCAGGCACAATGGCTTACGCCTGTAATCTCTACTAAAAATACAAAAGAACCAGGTGTGGTGGGCACCGATAATCCCAGCTACTTGAGAGGCTGAGGCAGGAGAATCGCTTGCACTTGGGAGGAGTAGGCTGCAGTGAGCAGAGATCACGCCACTGCACTCCAACAGGAGCAACAGAGACTCAGTCTCAAATAAATACAAACATACATACAGCTAGGCACATGGCTCACGCCTGTAATCCCAACACTTTGGGAGGCCAAGGTGGGCAGATCACGAGGTCTGGAGTTTGAGACAAGTCTGACCAACTTAGTGAAATCTTGTCTCTACTAAAAATATAAAAATTAGCCGGGCATGATGGTGGACACGTGTAATCCCAACTACTCAGAAGGCTGAGGCAGGAGAATCACTTGAACCTGGGAATCGGGGGTTGCAGTGAGCAGAGATTGTGCCACTGCATTCCAGCCTGGGCAACAGAGCAAGACTCCGTCTTGAAAAAATATATACATATATACATGCATGCATAATTTACATCCATTTTGATAGTCTTTTTCTTTTTTTTTTCTTTTTTTGAGATGGAGTTCGCTCTTGTCCCCCGCCCAGCTGGAATGCAGTGGTGCGATCTCGGCTCACTGCAACCTCCACCTCCCGGGTTCAAGAGATTCTCCTGCCTCAGCTGAGTATCTGCAACTACAGGCACACCACCATGCCCAGCTAATTTTTGTAATTTTTAAAATTAGAGATGGGCTCTCACCATATTGGTCAAGCTGGTCTCGAACTCCTCACGTCCGGTAATCCACTCACCTCAGCTTCCCAAAATCTGGGATTATAGGTGTGAACCACTGTGCCCAGGCCAGTTCTCTTGCTTTTCAAGCCACCAGAGGTGCTGTCCCTTAAGGCTTTCTTTCCTAATAACAAAAAGTATTTTAAGAGCACGAAGCACACAAAAGCAATTAAAATAAGTGCCTTGGCCAGAAGTGGTAGCTCACGCCTGTAATCCCAGCACTTTGAGAGGCCAAGGTAGGCAGATCACAAGGTCAAGAGATTGAGACCATCGTGGCCAACATGGTGAAGCCTCCTCTACTAAAAATACAAAAATTAGCTGGGCATGGTGGTGCATGCCTGTAGTCGCAGCTACTTGGGAGGCTGAGGCAGTAGAATCACTTGAACCCGGGAGGTGGAGGTTGCAGTGAGCTGAGATCACACCACTGCACTCTAGCCTGGGCGACAAAGCAAGAATCCATCTCAACAAAAAAGAAAAAAGAAAAAAAGAAACCCTGTTTCTACTAAAAATACAAAAAATTAGCCAGGCATGGTGGCACACACCTGTAATCCCAGCTACTCAGGAGGCAGGAGGCAGAAGAATTGCTTGAACCCAGGAGGTAGAGATTGCAGTGAGCCGAGATCATGTCATTGCACTCCAGCTTGGTCAATGAGAGCAAAACTCCAACTCAAAAATAAATAAATAAATAAAATTAAATCCCTCAGGTGAGTGCAGTGATGCCCACCTGTAGTCCCAATTACTTGGGAGACTGAGGCTGCAGGATGGTTATGCCTATGAGTTTGAGGCTGTAGTCAGCTATGATCTTGCTTGTGTAAAGCTGCTGCACTCCAGGCTGGGCAATGTAGCAAGACCCCCATCTTTTAAAAACACACATACACACAATCAACAGCTGTGTTCCTACAGTGTTGGTACCACCCAGGCAGTCTTTGTACCCCTGCCACACACATGCGTGTGCATGCGCGCGCGCGCGCACACACACACACACTCCCAAAGTGACCTCACCTCCTCCCATGCACTCATTTGAGCTTTACTGAACATCACTGACATCATCACTTCCTCCTCTGAGACGACCAGCTGGCCCCCACCATGAGGGCACCCACCCTCCAACAACCTGCATTGACTTCAGTCACTACCTGCTCTCTTGTGATTATCAGTTCACTTGTTACCACCTGCCCCACTCCATCATATTCTCAACTTCCCTCATGTTCCTAGAACTCAGTAGGACCCAGGATGTACTATGGGACAGAAATGTTTGCTAAGCAAACAAATGACTGAATGGATGAAACTCTAGCAGTAAGCTTGACTGGATTAGAGGGTCGTAATTTTTCTCCATGCTATGAGTATGTCCTGAAAAGATTTAAAAACAGCCCACAGATACTACTGTTTTCTACACAAACCAGTGCTCAAGGTTCAAAATAAGAGCTCATTCCTAGGGAACCCTCACCTACTTCCTCCTCCCCAGTCTCTTCCCAGGGTCCATAGCTTACCCTGCTGTCTCTCATTTTCTTTCTTCCTTTTTTTAAGAAACGGGGGTGTCAGCCGGGCGCGGTGGCTCAAGCCTGTAATCCCAGCACTTTGGGAGGCTGAGGCGGGTGGATCACAAGGTCAAGAGATCGAGACCATCCTGGTCAACATGGTGAAACCCCGTCTCTACTAAAAAAAAATACAAAAAATTAGCTGGGCATGGTAGCGTGTGCCTGTAATCCCAGCTACTCAGGAGGCTGAGGCAGGAGAATTGCCTGAACCCAGGAGGCGGAGGTTGCGGTGAGCCGAGATCGCGCCATTGCACTCCAGCCTGGGTAACAAGAGTGAAACTCCGTCTCAAAAAAAAAAAAAAAAAGAAACGGGGGTGTCTCACTATGTTGCCAGGGCTGGTATCAAGCTCCTGGGCTCAAGAGATCTTCCCACCTCCACCTCCCAAAATGCTGGGATTACAGGCGTGAGCCACCACATCCATGGCCTGCCCTGCTGTATCTATAGTTCTGTTTGTCTGTCAGTCCGGCCTGGAGGCTGGGCCTACCCTCCTCTATCTCTATCTCATTAACCGGCCTGTGCTATGGGAGCTGTTTTATGTGGGCCTTGGGGACAGGTGCCCACCCATGGACAACTGACCAGGTTCCAGGGAAGGACAGGTGGGGTTACCATGGCAATATTGCTCCCCTTCCGAATATTCCTGGTATTCCGTAGGGCTGCTTCCCCACTGGTACTTATATTGGTCTTGGTAGCACAGGTATTCAATACCCCAACATACCTGCGGAAGAGAATAGCTGATCTTTTTTTTTTTTTTTTTGAGACGGAGTTTTGCTCTTGAACCCTGCTGGGTTCAAGTGATTCTCCTGCCTTAGCCTCCCAAGTAACTGGGATTACAGGCATGTGCGACCACACCTGGCTAATTTTTGTATTTTTAGTAGAGACGGGATTTCGCCATGTTGGCCAGGCAGGTATGGAACTCCTGACCTCAAGTGATCTGCCTGCCTTGACCTCCCAAAGTGCTGGGATTACAGGTGTGAGTCACCACGGCTGGCCAGAATGGCTGATTTTTACTGAATTCCTAGCAGGTGCCAGGGTCCATGTAAAGCACATATGATGCTTTCTCATTTCATCCTCACATCAATACATTATGATGAAAACTACCATCATCCATATTTTACAGACGTGAAGACTAAGGCTCAGAGAAGTTGTAACATAGCTAACGAGGGACATTTGAGAACCCAGGCCCCCTCTAACTCAAGAACCCACAGTCCTAATTATGATCTATGTTGAGAGATGTTTGTAGAAAACGTCAGGACTGGGGGAGGAGAGATGGAGAGGATTATTAGGAAGAGGAGCAATTTTGCCATGGTAACCTCACCTGTCCCTCCCTGCAGACTGGTCAGTTCTCCATGGGTGGGCACCTGTCTCCGTGGCCCACATTCACCAGTGGCCAGACCATTTTGCAAAATCGAAAACCCTGTTCAGATGACTACCGGATGCAAGCAGGGTAAGCCAAGGTCAGTCCCATGGTGGGTGGGCTGACATGGGCCAGGCATTGGGCCAGGAGACAGGGCAGGGGCGTGTGTTGCCCCAAAGCAAGGGCGCAATGGCCCCCATGGGGATGCTGGCCACATATCAGCCATCGTCTCCTGCAGGAGCTGCCAGCAACACCCCTTTCGTACTGCCAAGCCCCGGTTCCTGCAGAAGCTGGAAAACTACCTACGCAAGGAGCTCCTCCTGCTAGATGTGGGCACGGATTCCACCGAGGAACTGAGGCTGCAGGTCAGAGCCACAAAAGAAATGTGGGGAGGTCAGGGGAAGGGTGAAAAGAAGCCTCACCTACCAGCTGGGCGCAGTGGCTCATGCCTGTAATCTCAGCACTTTGGGAGACCGAGGCGGACGGATCACCTGAGGTGGACGGATCAGGAGTTCAAGACCAGCCTGGCCAACATGGTGAAATCCTGTCTCTACTAAAAGTACAAAAATTAGCTGGGCATGGTGGCAGGCACCTGTAATCCCAGCTACTCAGGAGGCTGAAGCAGGAAAATCGCTTGAACCCAGGAGGCAGAAGTTGCAGTGAGCCAAGATTGAGCCACTGCACTCCAGCCTGGGCGACAAGAGCGAGACTTTGTCTCAAAAACAAAAACAAACAAGCCTCAACTACCAGGACTGAGTACCTCAGACCCTCAAGGGAGACTCACTTCTCCCAGCTCCTTGGTCTCCTTCCCTGAAGAGAAGCAGGAAACATCCTATGAAAATGCCAGTGAGGCCGGGTACAGTGTCATACACCTGTAATCCCAGCACTTTGGGAGGCCAAGGCAGGAGGATCGCTTGAGGTCAGGAGTTCAAGATCAGCCTGGCCAACATGGTAAAAACCCACCTCTATTAAAAATATAAAACTGACCAGGCGCAGTGGTTCACACCTGTAATCCCAGCACTTTGGGAGGCTGAGGTGGGCAGATCACCTGAGGTCAGGAGTTCAAGACCAGCCTGACCAATAATGGAGAAACCCCATCTCTACTAAGAATACAAAAAATTAGCTAGGCATGGTAGCACATGCCTGTAATCCCAGCTACTCGGGAGGCTGAGGCAGGAGTACTGCTTGAATCTGGGAGGCAGAGGTTGCAGTGAGCCAAGATTGTGCCATTGCACTCCAGCATGGGCAACAAGAGCGAAACTCCATCTCAAAAAACAAAAAACAAACAAACAAAAAAACACCTGGAGTGGTGGCACACACCTGTAATCCCAGCTACTCAGGAGGCTGAGGCAGAAGAGTAACTTGAACCCAGGAGGCAGACGTTGCAGTGAGGCAAGATCATGCCACTGCACTTCAGCCTGGGCAACAGAGCGAGACTGTCAAAAAAAAAAAAAAAGAAAAGAAAGAAAAAAAAAAAAAAAAACGCCAGTGAGCAGGCACTGCAGTGTGGATCCAGAAGTCTCCTGAGGCTAGAGTTTCCTCACTGAATCAGGTGGCCTGGATGCTGTGCCCAGTCCTTACAGCTGTGTGAGCCCCAGTGCCCAGGTTAGGTCACTGGACATCGGTGAACGGAGCCCCTGAATGCTGGCAGTTGGGCAAGCAGGGGTCACACTGTGTTCACCAGTCCAGTGGCAACAACCCCAAGCTTAAGGAACCAACTCAGATGCATAAGGAGAGAGAGAGAGAGAAAGAGAGATCAGATCCAACCCAGATTGCAGTGTGTATTAGGGAGAGAATCACCAAATCTGCTCAAACAAGGATGACAGAATCCCTACCATTTGACTTAGTCACTGACTAAAACATTTACTGAGAACTGGCTGTGTACAAGTGCAAGGCCCTGGGCTGGAGCTTTACATCAATCTTCTGAGCAGATAAGGAAGAAGGCATACCACTATGGTGCGGTGGGGGTGGGCTTCAAACTCAAGGCTGACTCTGGAGACTGTGTTCATTCCAGTGAGCAATGCTGCCTCCAGAAACCTCCCATGCATCTAAATGAGATGGGACCACACCCCTACTTAGATGTCAGTATGCAAGGGTACAACCTTCAATCTCCTGCCTCTACAAATCTCCTACATCTACCAGGCTCTAAGATGGGGAGCAGTTACAAGTGAGAGGCCAATGATGCAGTGACTAGAAGGCAAGAGGCTGGCTGCCTGGAGAGCCAGAGAGGGGCTCAGACAGAGAGTAGAGGTCTGTCCATGGTCATGGCAGTCCACTAGGCCTCAGAGACAGCGTCAGGACAGGCCTCCAGAGAGCTGCCCCCCAGGCTCCATGGCACTGTGAGGTATGCAGGCGCTCAGGTGGTGTCTAGGACATTTACTTGAATATAAGTGACCTGGCAGCCTCATGCCAGAACACTTCTAAGCCCAGTAAAGAAAAACACAGGTCCCTACTAAGGGTGGCAGCTATGGGCTAGGAGATGATGGGTTCCCTTTTCTTGCCAGCCTTACAGAGAGATCTTTGAGTTCTTCATAGAGGACTTCAAAACCTACAAGCCATTACTATCCTCCATCAAGAATGCCTATGAGAGGATGCTGGGTAAGAATGCACCTCCCACCAGGCCCAGGGGATCACGCCTGTAATCCTAGCACTTTGGGAGGCCAAGGCAGGTGGATCACTTGAGGTCAGGACTTTGAGACCAACCTCGCCAACATGGCGAAATCCTGTCTCTCTACTAAAAACACACACACAAAATAGCCATGTGTGGTGTAATTCCAGCTACTTGGAAGGGTAAGGCAGGAGAACTGCTTGAACTGGGAGGTGGAAGTTGCAGTGAGTGGAGACCATGCCACTGCACTCCAGCCTGGGCGAAAGAGCAAGACTCCATCTCAAAAATAAAAAATAAAAAAGAATGAAGCTCCCCTCCTGGGCCCAGCTGGAAGGGGTAGAGAAGATCCTATTTGACCTTCTGGGGCTCCACAGCAGGGCTGGGGCAGCTACCAACTGGGCCTTGAGGTCACCAAGCCCCCTCAGCCATTCTGCACAGACTGTTCTGTGATAGGGTGGCCCAGGCACCTGACCACTCCTGTCCTCGAAAAGCACAGTGGGGCAGTCCCTGATGAAAATGGAGTGAACCCCAGGAGACAGTGAGCACCCATAGGAGTCAGCAGGCTCCTCTGCCAGGCTCAGAAGGTGCAGGGCATGGTGCAGCTGCAGGACTTAAGACTATAGGGAAAAGGACATAGGAGAGACCCCGGTCCTCATCTGAACTTTGCCCTTGGTTTAAAATCAAGTGCAGGCCAGGCGTGGTGGCGCATGCCTGTAATCCTAGCAATTTGTGAGGCCAAGGCAAGCAGATTGCGAGGTCAAGAGATCGAGACCATCTTGGGCAACATGGTAAAACCCTGTCTCTACAAAAAATACAAAAATTAGCTGGGCGTGGTGGCATGCACCTGTATTCCCAGCTACTCAAGAGGCTGAGGCAAGAGAATCTCTTGAACCCAGTAGGCAGAGGTTGCAGTGAGCCGAGATCATGCCACTGTACTCTAGCCTGGCGATAGAATGAGACTCCATCTCAAAAAAAAAAAAAAAAAAAAAGGGGGGGGAAATAAATAAAACGAAGTGCAGGAAGGCCTGAAGGAAGGACCATGCTTTGAACAAGGCATGCAAAGATTCCTGGACTTTGCAAGCCACATAACCACTAACCCATGACCTTAGGGGTCTTGTGAAGACCTCTGTGTCTTCTGGCTGTTTAGTCTCCATGGCCCCAAAGCTGCTTTCCCTTCTATCTCTGCTTAGCCCACCAAAGGGAGACAATTCGGGCTCTGGAGCCCTTGAAGGCCAAACTTGTCAATGTGAATGAGGAATGCAACGAGAGGATCCTGGCCATGAGGGCTGAGGAGAGACATGAAATCTCCCTGCTCAAGAAAGAGAAGATGAATTTGCTAAAACTCATCGACAGGAAGAATGAGGAGAAGATCTCATTGCAGAGTCAGGTGAATAGAAGTGGCATGATTACCAAGTCCCTGAATTCCTGCCAACCCCACCATGAGGGTGACCCCCTATCCAGCTCTGCCTTTCTACAGGGAATGACACACTGAGCCACTACCTTCCCCCAGAGCCTTGCTAACTCCACACTCTGCCCTGTTGCTTGGCTCAGAACTTTCCCCATACGGGGAAGCACTGACACCTTGCAGAATTCTCAGAAATGGCCAATCTCCTTCTTCCTTCACCTTTCCTGTTTGCAGGCCCTGATGGGGCCACCCAGCACCCAGCCTACTCCCTGGGGTGGCCAGCTGCATACAGGGGTCCAGGGGCAGCCCCTGACCGCATTAGCTACCTTCTCCACAGGTGACCAAACTGAGGAAGAACTTGGCTGAGGAATACCTGCACTACCTCAGTGAGCGAGATGCCCGCAAGATCCTCATCGCAGACCTGAATGAGCTGCGGTACCAGCGGGAGGACATGTCATTAGCCCAGTCCCCACGTAAGCATGAGTCAGGTTTTTCTCTTCCCTGAGATGCTGGAGGAGTCTGGTCTCACCCATAAGCCCCATTCATTCAACATTCCTAAGACCTACCCAATCCATAACCATTCAGGGGGAGATGTCCCTGCCTCCTTCAGGGCTGTGGATCTTGCGAGCTAAACTGAGAATTATAGGAACACAGTTGGTAGCTGAGACAGCCTAGGCTTCTGGTGGGCTGGACAGGCCTGGTACTCCATTTCCTGGGCTTCTAGACTTTAGCCTGACACCCTAGGCTGGTAGCACTGTAGGCAAGACCCAGGGAACCTCAAGCAGGGAGGGCAGAGAGCTTCAGGCAACCCCTGAGAGATACTATAACCCAGCCCTGGGCTACCAGCCCTAGAGCTAGGGTGACATGGGCTGTTGGACCTCCTCCCCTGGCAGGCATCTGGGGGGAGGATCCGGTGAAGTTAACCCTAGCTCTGAAGATGACTCGGCAAGACCTGACCCGCACGCAGATGGAACTCAACACCATGAAGGCCAACTTTGGCGACGTAGTCCCCAGGAGGGACTTTGAAATGCAGGAGAAGACAAATAAGGATCTTCAGGAGCAGGTGCTGGTGGGCAGGCAGGGGCCAGGAGGGTAGCACAGGGGCTTGCAGGTGGGAGGCCAGGGCCAATGTCCTTGCCCACAGCTGGACAGCCTGAGAGCCAGCTACGAGGAGGTCCACAAGGAGCATGAGATCCTGATGCAGCTGCACATGAGCACACTGAAGGAGCGGGACCAGTTCTACTCTGAGCTGCAGGAAATCCAGCGCACTTCCACACCACGGCCTGACTGGAGCAAGTGCGAAGGTGAGGGCGGCCAGCAGGGTCCCGGGTCCTGCTCACATGTGGGCCTGGACTCTAGCTCCCTCTTCCCACCTGCAGATGTGGTGGCCGGGGGCCCAGAGCGCTGGAAGGTGCTGGCTGAGGGCAAGAACAGCGACCAGCTGGTGGATGTGCTCCTGGAAGAGATTGGCTCGGGGCTTCTGCGGGAGAAAGACTTCTTCCATGGTCTGGTAGGGGAGGCTCCAGGAGCAGGGCTTGGGCCAGTCAGAACAGCCATGCCTTGCTGCTGAGATGAGCTTTTGGGGAACCATCTTGGACTCTTCCTTGTTTGAGGGTGGGGCCACAGATGGGTCCAGAGATGAGCTGACACCCTCCCTCCTAGGGCTACGGGGAAGCCATCCCTGCTTTTCTTCGGTTTGATGGCCTTGTGGAGAACAAGAAGCCAAGCAAGAAGGACGTGATCAACCTCCTCAAGGATGCCTGGAAGGAACGTCTTGCAGAGGAGCAGGTCAGATCTCACTAGCCACTCTGGCCCAGCATGGTCTTCAGATCCAGCGTCCTCTGCAGGTCCAGAGGTGCCAGGGAGGAGGGCCAACCAACCCTAAGGCAGGCTTACGAAGCATTTCCCTGATCCTACAGAAAGAGACATTCCCAGATTTCTTCTTCAATTTCCTGGAGCATCGCTTTGGGCCCAATGATGCCATAGCCTGGGCTTACACTATTTTTGAAAATATCAAGCTCTTCCATTCCAATGAAGTTATGAGTCAATTCTATGCAGTCTTGATGGGAAAGGTGAGCCGGGGCCTATTTCCCTTAGGGAGATTGAGAGGGGTCTTTGTCTGCCCCCACCACCCCAGGGAACTTTGAGTGAGTAATGCTTCTCTCCTTACAGTGGAGTGAGAATGTATATATCACCCAGAAGAAGACAGTAGCCCAGCTGCTGAAGGAGATGACAAATGCTGACAGTCAGAATGAGGGGCTACTAACCATGGAGCAGTTCAGGTGAGAGGCTGGTCCAGGCCACCCCCAACTCCTACCCAACTATTCCTGCATCTGCAGGGAAAAGGGGCATCTGGTGGGAAGGGCTACATCCTTGGAACTCACTCTCTATTGAGAACTAGGGAGAGGCATGGGCAGGCCTCAGCAGGTTCCTGTTGGCCGTCATGTCTCCCCCATAGCACTATCCTCAAGAGTACCTTCCCTCTCAAGACAGAAGAGCAAATCCAGGAGCTGATAGAAGCAGGGGGCTGGCATCCCAGCAGCAGCAATGCAGACTTGCTCAACTACCGCTCACTGTTTATGGAGGTGGGTGTGTGGGTCCAGGGGACTGGTCTGGCCCCTGCCCTAGCCTTGGCTGAACCCAAGCCAATGTGCCCTCCCTCTGACTTGTGGCCCCTCCCAGGACGAGGAGGGCCAGAGTGAGCCCTTTGTACAAAAGCTCTGGGAACAATACATGAATGAGAAGAACGAGTATTTACAGCAGCTAAAGCAGGAGCTGTACATAGAACTGTGAGTGACCCTCATCCATACATGAGTTCCACAGGCTGGGCACCTCAAGCCCCTGGGTCTTCCTGTGCACTGCACACCATCCACTGCTCAAGCCCAGCAGAGAGGAGGGCACCTGGCCAGGTGTGGTGGCTCACGCCTGTAATGCCAGTACTCTGGGAGGCCAAGGTGGGCGGATCACCTGAGGTCAGGAGTTCAAGACCACCCTGGCCAACATGGCAAAACCCCCTCCACTAAAAATACAAAAATTAGCTGGGTGTGGTGGTGCATACCTATAATCCCAGCTACTCAGGAGGCTGAGGCAGGAGAACTGTTCCAACCCAGGAGGCAGAGGTTGCAGTGAGCCAAGATTGAGCCATTGCACTCCACCCTGGGCAACAGAGTGAGACTCTGTATCAAAAAAAAAAAAAAAAAAAAAAAAAAGGAGGAGGGTACCTGGGAGTCTAGGGCACAGAAAGGAAGGATTAGAACCTCTCACTTTCTTTTCCTGTGGGGCAGCCATGAGGAGGTGACTCTGCCCAAGCTTCGAGGGGCCCTGATGAGCATCGACCCCAGCCTGGACAAGCAGACTGTGAACACTTACATAAGCCAGGCCTTCCAGCTCCCTGAGTCACAACTGCCAGAGGAGGGTGACGAGAAGGAAGACAGCATTGTGGAAATCCTCCAGACTGCCCTGGAGCGGCTTCAGGTGATTGACATCAGGCGTATGGGGCCTCGAGAGCCAGAGCCTGCAAGCTAGGACCCTGTAGGCAGCCTTTGTACTCCAGTCCTGCTAAGCCTGGGCTTTTAGTATAAAAGTGTTTGTCTGAAAACCCACTGCATTCTCCAGGCTGTGCTGGGGAGTTGTGGGAAGGGGGATCAGTCCCCGCCTCGCTGGCCTGCGGACATGCACCAAAATGCAGAATATACTGTGTATGACACTTTATTGATGCTAGGGGGTAGGGAGGAGACCTGGAGAAATATGTGGGGCCAAGGGGCCCCAGGTGGGGACAGGGAAAGTGGAGAGGCCCGGCCACTACTGTGCAGGGAAGACAGAGTTGCCACTGGACGCACAGGGAATGAGGAGCTGCCGGTACTCCAGGGGCAGGTACCGCTCCACTAGCACATGAAGCGAGACTTGGTCGGTGACCAGGCCCTGCCTGCAGTGGAGGAGAAAGCACGAGCAGAATCAGCACCAGCACTCCCCCAGCCAACAATCCCCCAACCCGCCTTGCGCCCTCTCACCGCCGCATCAGCAGCTCAACATCCTCTGGCTTCACAGTCTTGCGGCCAGCATGAGCAGCAAATACCTCCAGGTCGTCACAAAGATGCTGGAAATATTTATCTAAGCTGCCAAGAAGGTGGGGATAGAGCAGGCTGAACAGTCTGATCATGACCCAAGGGGTTCCTCTCCCTACACCACGTCCCCAGGACTCACCACTTCTCCACCATCTCAAGAGCCTTCCTCTCCATGGGCATCTTGGCATAGAAGCTAAAGAGTTTGACGTAGTGGCTCAGTCCAGCCTTGTGGAGAGCTTGCTGGGGTCTGGGGCCGGTAGTCCTGGGCTTAGGGGAACGCCTGACCAACAGAGGCTCCGCAGGCTCTGAAGATAAGCTGAGGACAGGAGTAGACAGAGGGGCTGAACTACTGCCTCAGGAAGCCCCTATTCAAGGGCAATTCTTGCTGGCTCTTGCTGAGGCTGGAGACCATGTGGCTCTTGGACAGCCAGGACCAGCATCCCTGACCACTTGCTGAGGGGCAGTTAGGTCAGGGGGCCAAAGAGAGGCTGGTCTTTGCCTGGGACTTTGTTCCTCCACAGTCAACTCGACCTCCTAGCTCAGGCTTATTATCTATATTGGTACCTGCTTGGGCCCATGACCCCAGACCTCAGAATGGACAGTCTCTCCCCTCACTCTACAGCTGCCTATCCTGATTCTGCTAATCCTCCTCCAGGAAGCCTTCTCTGACTACAAATCAACCACATACTTTCCCCTCACTCAGTCTCCTCTAAGCCCTGGAGGCAGGCACCAGGATGGCAGGGGTGCTCTTGGTGAGCCCTCCCCAGCCCAGGTCAGGCTGCACTGCTGGGTAATCATCTACATACACGTGGGAAGGGGGAGGACCCTGTGTACATGGTGTACCCAATGCCCCCTTCCCAAGAGGCCCAGGAGGAATGGGGTTGTGGGATCTTACACTGCAGCACCAGGCGGTGGGTCTGGCTCAAGAAACTGATGATGTCGCCTAGCCTGGAGAGACTCAGGGGTGCTGGAGACCAACTCTGGACTTGCTGCAGAGGAAGAAGGGTGGGGTCACAGGGATCCCAGGCTGACCATCTTACCCAAGCTAGCAGTCACAGTATTTCTGTCCTGTTTCTGGTGGGCCCCACCTAGCTCCAGCCAAGCAGGTGCCTCTCAGAGTCTCCCTGGCCCCCTACCACCACCAGTATCTGGAAACACAACCCAGGCAACGCCCTTCTGTGTGCCGGAGCCTGAACACAGCTGTCACCAGCCACCCCCTGCACTGGGCCTCTTACCTGCCCTGTCAGAGGCATCCTCAACCCCTGAAGATGCTCCTGGTCCCTTCGCCTCAGCAGTCCCCTGGGATTCCTCTGTTTCTGTCACCTCTCTGTGTCCCTTGGGCTCTTCTGCCCTGCTGGGTCCTTGTGCTCCTGTTACCTCCATTTGACTCACACTCACACCTTCTTCTTCCATCCTTTTCTCTGCCTCTTCAACTCCATCCTGTAAGGGTTCTACTCCATCTTCTCTAGAGATGCCACTGCTAGTGCTCAGGAAATCCAGAGCAAAGGCATCAACCTCCTCTGCCTCTCCTACGAGAAATTGGGCTGGTTTCTGAGGGCCTGAGTGAAGGAGAGAGAATACAGGCTGGAGATGCAGTAGGCCAAAGCTACATAGCTCAGAGAAGGGTAAAGACGGACCAGCAGCTGGACGCGGTGGCTCAAGCCTGTAATCCCAGCACTTTGGGAGGCCGAGGCGGGTGGATCACGAGGTCAAGAGATCGAGACCGTCCTGGCCAACATGGTAAAACCCCGTCTCTACTAAAAATACAAAAAATTATCTGGGCATGGTGGTGCGTGCCTGTAATCCCAGCTACTCAGGAAGCTGAGGCAGGAGAATTGCCTGAACCCAGGAGGCGGAGGTTGCGGTGAGCCGAGATCGCGCCATTGCACTCCAGCCTGGGTAACAAGAGTGAAACTCTGTCTCAAAAAAAAAAAGTCGGGCGCGGTGGCTCAAGCCTGTAATCCCAGCACTTTGGGAGGCCGAGGCGGGTGGATCACGAGGTCAAGAGATCGAGACCATCCTGGTCAACATGGTGAAACCCCGTCTCTACTAAAAATAAAAAAAATTAGCTGGGCATGGTGGTGCGTGCCTGTAATCCCAGCTACTCAGGAGGCTGAGGCAGGAGAATTGCCTGAACCCAGGAGGCGGAGGTTGCGGTGAGCCGAGATCGTGCCATTGCACTCCAGCCTGGGTAACAAGAGCGAAACTCCGTCTCAAAAAAAAAGACGGACCAGCAGACCCAGCCCTGCCCACTGAAGAAAGACAAAGCCAGAGGCAGCAGCAGGACATGGATCTGGAGGCTCTGGCCCAACATGGACTCTGCTCTTGGATGGAGGAGGCAGCCACAGCCAGGGGGTTTCTAGGGGCATACAGGGACTTGAGGATGGAAAACCACCATTGTCAACTCTCACCCAAGCTAAGCTTGGCTCCAGGCCACAGGCACCACATACTCACTGGTCTGCATTCCTGGCCCACTGCTCCGTGCCTTGCAACTGGCAGCCAGCTCAGCATCTTCGGCCCCAGTGTGAGGCATGCAGGGCAGGGAGCGGTACACACGGGGGGAGTAGCCAACTGTAGGCTGAGAGAAGGGCTGGGTGTCTTCCAACACAATGTCTGTGGGCAGAGTAGTAACAGGTTCTGAGGCTATCACCTGGAGATCAGGGGCTAGCTGGCTCTCAGTGTATTCCAGGCCACTTGCTGCTACTCTGTGTTGCCAGGGCCTGGACAGTGGGCCCCATGGGTCCACCCTGAGTGGCCTTCAGAAAAAGAAAACGACCTAGCACGCAAGGCCTTATCTCCCATAGCCCTCCTTGCTTACCTTCCTGTTCCTCTGCCTGGCATTCTCAGGCCCCCACAGCTGCCCACACAAAAAACCTCTTCGCTGCTCGCTCTGCTCCCTCTGCCTAAACCCTTTACTTACCCTGGTGAACTTGCTTTCTGCAATGAGGGTCCCAGGCCAGCTTGAGTTGGCCAGCTGATCCTGAAACTTGGCCCCTTTCAACAAGTTTTGGCCACCACACCACACCCCTTTCCAACCTCCAGCTCTATAGCTTGAGGATATGGGTCCCTGGGAGATACTGAGGGACCAAGACTGGGTCCCACCAAGGCAAGGGGCCCCTTGTTGAAAGAAAGCAGAAATTCCTTCTAGACCCACTGACCAGACTTGCTCACTGTCCTTGACTCCACCAAAAGGGGCACAACCCTGATTTAGCAGCACCTCGTATCTGTCATAACAAGGGAAAGCTTTCCCCAAAGACCAGCAGGGGAAAACCTCAACCTTACTTGCAGGAGCCAAGGAAGTATCTCGCAGATCCTGCAAAAAGGCACCCACATCTACAGCTCGACGGGCGGGAGGTCTGCGGGCCAAGCCAGGCCTCTGCACTGACTGTGGCTGAAGAGGTGTGGCAAAGGTCAGGTTGAGGGAGCTGGTAAGAAGGGGAAGGCACAAAGGAAAGTCAGGTACCTGAGACCCAGTTTGCCCAGAGATCCCCCCCATCTGCCTTGTGGTTCTCATCTCTTAGAACAGAGCCAACAAGCTGTGTGGCTAAAACTGGCAGAGAGTAGTGTGACCAGATTCCCAGGCAGCATCTTCCTCCCCAAGCCTCTCCTCCACCCACCCCTAGAACAGGAAATACCCAGAACAGCACCTGGTGAGGGATGAGGCATCAACATTCCTTTGAGGCTCTGTCAGTGACCCAGCAAGAGAATGTAAAAGAAAACCATGATAAATGAGCCAGGCCTGTGAGAGCCCCCTCTCAGGCCTCCTCAGCCTCTCCAGAAGCCAGGAGGGAAAGGGTAGCAAAAGTGGTCCAGGGCCTTACCTTGGGAGAGAGGCATCCCCTGGTCCACTCCCTGCTGAAACATCGACAGTCTTAGCCTCTGTTTCCTACTGCCAGTGGCCAGCAGACCTGGAGCCAGGGTCGTGGGGGGCTCAAGCTCAGGAAGTTGCAGCTCCAGGCTACAAGAATGTAGCTTACCTCAGGCAGGCCAGGAAGCCCAATTCTGGCTTTTGCAACCCCCAAGAAATTCCCCGACTAAGCTGCCCATAACATAGTGCAAGGTGGGAGAGTTCTGTGTACCTGCCAAGACTGCTCTCTCGTCCAGAGGGCTGGACCACCTGTGGTGCTGGCACTGGCTTCACTACCGACTTGGGCATCAGGATGGAAGATTCCGGGGCTGCAGAAACACCAAGGAGAGAGTGGGGCTGACAGAACAGGCCACCCTGAATGAAACATACCACCAGACTGGTGTTGGACTGGTGCCTAACTCTGATCGGCAGGCCAGCGCTCACTTACCAGTTAGTAGGATGTTCTTCAGCAGGGTCCGAGGCGTCTGTTCCTCTAGGTGCCCACTGGCCTGAACATATGCTGATCTGCTAATAGTCTATCGGTAAAAGCACCAAGCAACCAGTCTGTCCCTTTGCCTTGAGATTTCCTCAAGGTGGACTCCAGAGCAGAGCTGGACCTCAACCCCTCCTCCCCAAGGCAGCCAGGGCCCTTTGGGGTCAGTGGGCTGGGTACTTACCCTGTCTCCA